TTTTGCTTATGTACGTATTTCGGCAGCTGTTATTTTCCGCTTGTGGGCGGCTGCCGATACTGAATTATTGAACTTGTAGCTCAATTTTTTTTTTTCTTCAGTTGCTTTATTTTTGAATGCTTTACTGTTTCTTTTCTTCAACTCTGCCGAACATAGCTGCACTGCGTGCTTCTTGCCCCCACAGAAATTGAAGTATGACTTTAGTTGAATAAGCAATTTCTGAACTTCTTCAAAATGGATATCCGAAACACAGGGCCAACTGAAGGCAATGCTTCTGGGATACAAGTCTTACTGAAGATTGACTGTCTGAAAGTTGGATATCCGAAACACAGGGCCAACTGAAGGCAATGCTTGGGATATTAGCTTTCTGGGACTAACCTCTTTAGAACAAGTCTTACTGAAATTTGACTTCAGCTGAAAGACCAGCGTTCTTAAAGAAGACGCATATCTGAAACACAGGGCCAACTTAAGGCAATGTTTCGGATAATGGCTCTCTGGGATACAAGGCTCAGTTAAGGCAATATCCCAGAATTGTCCATGGACTCATGTCTTTGGAGAACAGGTCTTACTGATGTTTGATTTCAGCTGAAAGACCAGTGTTCTTTAAAAAGACTGAGTTTTGTAAGCCATCTGAAACCCAGTTACCCGAAGGCGAAGGTTTCAGACGAGGCTGATTTAAAAAGGCTGTTATCCTTGATTTTCTGTCTATCTTTGAAAAATGGATACCCGAAACACAGGGCCAACTTAAGGCAATGTTTCGGATAATGGCTCTCTGGGATACAAGGCTCAGTTAAGGCAATATCCCAGAATTGTCCATGGACTCATGTCTTTGGAGAACAAGTCTTACTGAAGTTTGACTTCAGCTGAAAGACCAGTGTTCTTTAAAAAGACTGAGTTTTGTAAGCCATCTGAAACCCAGTTACCCGAAGGCGAAGGTTTCAGACGAGGCTGATTTAAAAATTTTCAACTGTTGCTGTTATCCTTGATTTTCTGTCTATCTTTGAAAAATGGATACCCGAAACACAGGGCCAACTTAAGGCAATGTTTCGGATAATGGCTCTCTGGGATACAAGGCTCAGTTAAGGCAATATCCCAGAATTGTCCATGGACTCATGTCTTTGGAGAACAAGTCTTACTGAAGTTTGACTTCAGCTGAAAGACCGGTGTTCTTTAAAAAGACAGGTTTTGTCAGCAATCTGAAACCCAGTTACCCGAAGGCGAAGGCTTCAGACGAGGCTGAATAAAAAACCCTCAAAGAGTAGATAGAACAAAGAAAATTTTGAAAGGATAAAAAGTTGTAAATTTTATATAAATGGCGGCTCCAAGGCCTGTCATTAGTTCAAAATGTACTTACAAAGATTGTTCTGCCCCGAAGGGTTTACACATGGTATTTTTTCAGTACATCAGCATTCCAGTGATTCTTCAACTCAGTTCCATCCAACTGCCGAAGTCGGTATGTCCCTGGCTGAAGCTCATCATAAATTTCATAAGGTCCCTCCCATGTAGCTGAGAGCTTCCCATGGATTCGGCCTTTCTGAACTGCGGCAGCATTCCGAAGGACAAGATCCCCAATTTTGAGAGGCCTTGCATGGACCCTTCGGTTATGGGAGATGAGGTCTGAACTTATCCCGGGCATATCAGCTGCCGAGAAAGCAAACACATCTCTGTTATCCCGCAGGAGCTGAATAAGTTCACAACGGGTGTTAGGATCAAGGTCCATCCCGATTGTTACACATTTCTCAGCATCTCCTTCGGCCAACTCTGCTGTTTCAGTCTGTTGGTCCATGTCCATTGCCGATGGACTGGACTCCTCAGAATCTGGTCTGCTGCCAATGTCAGCAGGTGTCCCAGTCTTTGTGTTCTTCGGCTGGCTCTCTGAGTCTTTCGGCTCAGATGAAGAGTCAACCTTTTCCCTTTCGGGACCTTTTTCTCTGGGCACGGATCCTTGGGCCGAAGCACTTAGGCCTTTCGGCTTTTTTGTGCTTGGCTCTCTTTCTTTTTCTTTCTCATCATTGTCGTCATTTGGGCGACTACTGGATGGCTTGAGGTAATTGCACCTTCGGGCGTCCTTCTGGTTGCCCTGTATCCTTTCGGGGAAGCCGGCGTCTGAGACATAAATCATCAGCTGATGATAAGTTGAGACGACCCCTTGGATCTCGTGAATTATGGGTCTCCCCAAAATCACGTTGTACACTGAAGGAGCGTCGATGACCAAAAACTCAATCATGACGTTCCGGGCTGCCTCATCGCAACCGATGGTGACAGGAAGTGTCACCTTCCCATCTGGATAAGTTGAAGCCCCATTGAACCCGGATACCGGATAGGGTACCGGCGTAAGGTGCTTGGGCTTCAGCTTAATTTGGTTGTAGGCCTTTCGGAACAGAATGTTTGCTCCGCTGCCACCGTCAACAAGGACCTTACTGACGTCGTGGTTGGCCACCGTGGCGATGATCACCAACGGATCCTCGTGAGGGAACGTAATCCCCCGGCAGTCGGCGGCTGTGAACGTCATGTTCGGCACCGGCGACTGGGGAGATTGAATGTCAGCGTTGTTCACCTGGTGAGTCAAAGCTCTAAGGTGACGCTTGTGCTCCCTCCGAGAGTATATTCCTCCCGAGATAACATTGATCGGAGGGAATTTCCCCTCCGGTTTTTTACTGTTTTTCCGGGGGAAATCAAGGTCCTGCCGAGGGTCCTTTGCTAACCTTTCGGATTCTTTTTTCTCGCGGTGATCCGCGATGTATTTTTTCAAGTATCCCTTCCGGACCATGTCTTCTATCTGGTCCTTCAGCTGGATACACTCCTCAGTGTTGTGGCCCGAAGAATCGTGGAACTCACACCACTGATTTTTATTTTTTCGCTGATACCACTCTGGGAGTGGTCTCGGCTTTCGGTAACTCTGCTCCTCCTTCGTCACACTGTAAATTTTGGCGCGTGGAAGAGAGAGCGGAGTGTAGGACTCGTATCTGCCTGTGTATGAGGCAAACCTGTCCTTCTTTAGGTCGCTGGCCGAAGATGGCTCCGAGGCCTTTGATTTTCCCTTTGCCTTATGGCCTTGGCCTTCAGACAAGGGTATTTGCCTCTGTTTCCCTCCCCCGGATTGAGGTTGGGTTTTTGCTTTATTCCATTCTTCGGCTCGGATGAACTTATCCGAAGCACTAAGAGCTTCCTCCAAGGTCTGCGGGGTATGCATGACCATGAAGTCTAGGAATTTTCCTGGCTGAAGGCCATTCTGCATTGCAAAAACAGCTAGCCCCTGGTCCAGCTGAGAGACGCTTGATGACTCGTTACTGAAACGGGTCAGGTAGTCTCGGAGGCTTTCGGTTTCCCCCTGTTGCAGACCCATGAGCTCTGCGGTAGTCTTTTCTCGGCGGTTTGCCGTGGAAAACTTGCTCCTGAACTTGGAGGACAGATCATCCCAACCTGTTATGGAGCCTTGCCTTACTCCCTTGGAGATCCACGCTTGCGCGACCCCCTTGAGAGTGGTTGGGAAATATTTGCACCAAGTCGCCTCGGATCTGGGGCAAAGATGCATATGAGTCTCATACGAGGCCACGTGGTCCTTCGGATCCGTGGTCCCGTCATATGTGATATGCGACGGTATTTTAACCGTGGGTACGCGCTCTTCTAGTATCCATTGCTCGAATGGTGAACTAGCGGGAAGCATAATGGCCTTGCCCTTGTTCCTGGCCGAAGGGACCGCGCTCCGCCCTCTTAGAGAGGTAGGAGTGGTTTTCGTCCCTGGCTGGGAAGTCTGGGCCTCGGCTGCAGGGAACGAGAGGCGACTACGCACGCTCGGTTCCTGGCCGCCGAGTCGGTCAAGGACGCTTCTGCGAGCAGTCTCGGGTTCCCGGCGAGTAGATTCTGGCCGAGAAGCTGAGCTGCCGCTCTTATGCGCTGCTGGTCTTGAGGATGAGGATCCTTTAAATAATTGAGAGTTCTTCTTCCTCTGTTTTTCATTTTTCCAAGAATCCTCCTCCCACTCTTCCAGTTCCCGGAAGGAAGGAAGCTTCCCACCGTCATGGTCTAACTTCCTCCGCTGATGCCGGGTATGCGGAGGAGTTCGATCACGAGGCGGTGGCATATTCTGTGCCCTCATTGCCTCCATGAGTACTGCCAGCGCTCTTGCCACCTCTTCCGAACTGGGCCCCGTCAAAGGGGTCCCCGGCCGAGTGTGGTAATGAGGCCGCGCAGCCGATGGTTGGCTTTGGGACACTGAATATGTCCTATGATCAGACTGACCCCTGCTAGACCGAGAGTGGTCCGGCCTATATTGAGAGTCATGCATTACAGGAGATAGGGAATCCTCCTTGTGTGATCCTCCCCCCGAGCCGGCACCCTTGGGAGAGTTCCGGTCCGGCGTGGGCGATGGTGTAGGGGTTTTAGGCTTTTCGCCCGCTCCTTGACGGAGGCTTTTGCTCTTGCGGTTCTTAGCCATGGCTGCTAAGATAATTGCAAGATGATCTTGGTTAGGAATTTGGCTTAAAGATTTTTGAAAGTCTTCCCCACAGACGGCGCCAAATTGTTTCGGTTGAAAACAATGGGACCTTGCCGAAGGTCCACTGAAATGGAGAAGACTGGATTCGATCCAAGCTGTGTTGGGCCGAAGGTTTCCTGCACAGTGAACACACGTAAACTAGCCTCGGGGGTGTTTCCGAGGAAGGCCCCTCCGATGCTAAAGTCAGTACAATGTGTAAAAAGGAAGACACTATGCAAGAGAGTTTGTAGCTTGAGGCTTTTGTGGAGTATTTCTCAATGCAAGAATGAGCATATGAATTGGAATAATCAGTGTATGAGATAATGTATGTGATGTCCTCCTGAATGTGTTAATATGAGGGCTTTTATACCTCATCATACTTGGAGAGGTTGGGCTTTAGCCCAATTGGCTTACTTTGTGGGCTGACTTTTGACTTTTGAGCAATTGGAGAGTTGAACCTTGACCTTGGGCTTTTAATTGGATCATTTAGTGCTCAGGCCCAATTTTGACTAAATTGGACCCAAACAAAAACTAAGTTGAAATAAACACTAAAAACACTGAGTAAAATGATTCAGAACTTGCTCATACTACATAATCAAACACAAATAAGGCTGCGTGAGCTTAATCGCGTAAGATTCAAGTCAACAATCTCATATCAAAGCGGAGACAGGAAGTTATATAATCCTAGTAAAAGATCAAGCTAACAAATCAGATCTAACATGTAATGTTGAATCAAATCTGCATACCTTCATTCTCATCCTTCTGTTCTGATGTTCCAATTTGGGCACCAGGAACATTAACAAGGCTGCTTTTACATACATCGATCCCAAGACAGTATGAAACCCCATTGAATTCAGCACTTTTTGTTGTTTCACCTTTAATATCATACCACAAGATCTTATGCTCAGTTTTGTTTGCTGTTCTAAGCAAAATCTGATGGTTAAGCCTGTCGTAAGCAATAGGTGATACTCGCAATGATCCAAAGACATGTGAATCTGAAATTTGGACCAGCTTAACCCAAGATTCTTTCACACCATAATCATTCATCACCCATATATCAACAACAGATTGTTGCAGATTCTTTGTTGATAAGTATAAACATCCATCAAAAACCCCAAAATCCAGCAAACCATCTCGTATATCATTACCCATATAGTCCGGCAATGGGACATCATGAGTCCATTTATTTTCACAAAGATTGAAACAACAGATCCGATACTTACCTTCCTCTAAACTCCAAAACTTCCAATGAAGCAGATTGTTGTTTACAAGGACACCATTTTTGCGGTCTCCCATAGAATCCTGAGGAGGAGTCAACTTCATCTCTTCCCATGAATTTGCCCTCGAGCTATAAACACGAACTATCCTTTCCGTTTCAGGAAAGAAGAACCCCATGACACGAGGATGTTGGTCAACAATTCTAACAACTTTATAATCATCATTATTAGAATCATACCCAAACCCAAAATTCAAAGCAGTGTATCTTCTTGGTGGATAATAAGTAGGGATTTGCCGGTAGCTGCCAGTCGTAGGATTAAGCAAGAAAAGACAGTAAGGCCTAATACTTTGGATGCAAAGCAATCCATTACAAGATCCAACAACAAAGGGCTGTTCCCCAAAGCTCGGCAGCTTGACAGCAGGAGATTTCGGCAAATCCAAGTTGAATGAGTAGAGGAAACCATCATTACCAGTGAGGATGAGGAGTTGGTTTGAGTTGGAATAGAGAACATAGTCAAGATGACGGAGTATGAATTCATCGCTAGAAATCAAGGCTAACCATTTTTTGGATACACACTTAAAGCGCACAAGAGATTTTGCAGGCAGGCGTGGGAGTATACCGTTGTCTATTATATCCACTGGAGTAGATGCCATCAGAAATAAGTTCTCCCTATTGTTCTCCCTCTACCAGAAATCGGATTGGTTCAACAGTTACGAGGATTGATTAATGAACCGATAAATGATTATAATCTGTGTGTGTATGTGCACAAGAAACCATAGTATTGTACAAACGTTTTGGTATAAGATAGAGAAATCACCAGCTGGTACCAACTCAGATATGACAGTAACATATATGAAGTCAATGAAGACTACATTAAAAATAGTTAAAACAGCAGGTTTCCAGACTTTCTACTTAGATTGTGCATAATTTATTATCCTAAGCATGTGTATAGAGAGCATGGTACTGCATTTAATAAATTCATCTCAATAACAACCACTTCCTATGTAAGTATGAAGAGAAGAATATAATATCGCAGATATGGCAGGATGTAAGCATAATACATGCTCCTCACTAATTATACAGAACACCTATTAAAAAAGAAAGTTGACACATTCAAAAAATCACTAAAAAAGCGATGCTAGGCCGTAAATGCGAAGCTACAACTAAGAGGCATTATAAAGATAACAAAAGAAGACTTGTTGCTAGCTAAAACAAAAGCAATGGTGGAAGCGAAGTGAGTTGAAAAGGAGGTTAATTCAATCTATGAAGAAGAAAGCCTAGACTTACTCCGGCAACTGATCATGATGCCAAAAGATGACTATGATTGTATATAGTCGGGCGATGTATGTGCCGGTGATGGACCTCCAGAACAGTGCAGCTCTGGTGCTTGTACTCCCTCCAGCTCATCCGATGCTTATGTGTGTTTGTGTGTGCTTGAGCCAATTAACTTACAAAACTTTTACATTCTAGTTTACCAGTAGGCATTGCATATTTGCGTTACCTCATTGGTTTGTATTGGGGCTGCTTCTCCCTCTTTTTCTTCCTCTCTTTTTCATTTAAATAAGTTTTTATTTAGGGGGATTTCAATAATTGTAAGTTTGTAACCCATAATTCTATAACCTGTGCAATACTTTATTTTTTTAATTGGTTAAAAGTTCAAAATTATTTTTTGTTTGATTGCCGGCCAGTTGACATAGACAGCCCTGAATAACAATATTCTTTTAGTACAACAACATGAACATAGAGATAATATGCATTTTGTTGAACAGCAATTTTCCATTGAGTAATATTTTGTCACCAATATATACTACATATACAACATACACCAGCATTACACTAAATAACAAGTTTATTATTTAGTGTTCTATCAAAAAACATACCCAGTAGAAGAAGGCGAACCTCTGTAGTCTGTAGAACCAACAATGAAGACAATACAACAATGACAACAGCAACAAGAACGACCGTGGTCTTTTAAAATAAGATTGTAGCTAACACTAGCAAAACACTGAGGTGATGGCTGTTGCTCGAGACTGCCTTGTTAAGTCTTGAGCGTATGTAAGGAGGTTGACAGTGTTGGATTTTCTGGATCTTAAGACTGACTCGCATATAACCCACAAAATATGCATCATCGTCGCTGATGGTACTAGATGGCTGTTGAGAAGAAAAGAATAGCGGGTCAAGTATTGCATTGTAACAAAAACTAAGTTGAAATAAACACTGAAAGCATTTTAAAAGATGATTTTTTTTTAAAATAACACCACAAATTTTACAAAAAATGAATTATAACACCACAAATTCTCAAACTTTAATTATTTCACCACCATGTAACGGATTCTTGGATGAAATCCGCTAGTGGGGTCCGTACAAGACACGTGTCAAGTGTCTAGTGGTTTAAATAAATATTAAAAAAAAACCTAACCTAGCCCTCCCACCACCTCTGCACCAACGACCTCAACCGCCAATTGCCGCCGGCATCCATTGCCTCAACAAAATCCGACGAAACCAACGCCTTCGATCGCCGATCCACCACTTTACCCCCTCTCCCTCCCCGAAAACCACCTTAAGCCCTCCAAACCACCACAAAAACCATCCCTAATCGCCGCAAAATCCACCCCCATTCTCGATCTACCGCGAAATCCACTCCCATTTCCCCCAATTTTGCGAAATCGGCGGTCAAAATCGACTAATCGAGGGCTTTCGTGGCCGATTTTTGGTCGTTTTGAGGGTGAAAGGTAAGGGAGGGTGGTTTTCGGGGTTGGTGTTTGCTGTGGTAGGTGGTTAATTGCGGTGGGTATGCGGTGATTTGTGGTGGTTAAGGAGGGTTGGGGTGGTTTTCGGGGAGGGGGAAGAAGGGAAGGAAGAATTTTGCCGGGTTTCGGGGGGGGGGCAAGTGACACCGTCGGCTTGGGTTAGGCGTTGGCGCGGCTGGAGAAGGTGGTGCTGGTGGTGGGGTTGGTTGGGTTTAGGTTAGGGTTTTTTTTATATTTTTCTTTTTTTTTTTTAACAAAGAGCTTATCGACACGTGTTCATCGTGGGTGCTTTTAACGGATTACATCCAAAAATCGTGGTGAAATAATTTTTTTTGATTTTTTGTGGTGTTATATTCAAAATTTGAAAAGTTGTGGTGTTATAATCTATTTTTTGTAAAATTTATGGTGTTATTTAAAAAAAAAATCCTTTAAAAAATGATTCAGAACTTGCTCAAATTACATATATTAAGTCATAAATAAGGCTGCGTGAGCTTAACCATTTTAGGTTCAAGTCTAAAAACAGAGACCGGAAGTTATATCATCCAAGTTTATCAACAAATCAAGCAAACAAATCAGATCTAACATGTAAAATTGAAAATCCAAGAATGTTGCATCAAATCTGTGTACCTTCTTGCCCATCCTTCGGTACTGATTTTCCGATTTGGGAACCACCAGGAACATTAACAAGGCTGCCTTTACATACATCAATCCAAAGACAATCTGCAACCCCATTGATTTCAGCACTTTTTGTTGTTTCACCCTTGATATCATACCAAAAAGATCTTATGCTCAGTTTCGTTTGCTGTTCTAAGAAAAATCTGATGGTCTCGTAAGCAATAGGTGAAACTTGCAATGATCCAAAGACATATGAATCCGGAATTTGGAACCGCTTAACCCAAGATTCTTTCACACCATACTTATTCATGACCCATATATCTACAACAGATTGTTGCGGATTCTTAGTTGATAAGTATAAACATCCATCTAAAACCCCAAAATCCAGCAATACATCTCGTATATCATTACCCATATAGTCCGGCAATGGAACATCACGAGTCCATTTATTTTCACAAAGATTGAAACAACAGCTTCGATATTTACCTTCTTCTAAACTCCAAAACTTCCAATGAAGCAGATTTTTGTTTATAAAGGACACCATTTTCACGGATTCCCATAGAATCCTGAGGAGGAGTCCACTCGATCACTTCCCATGAATTTGCCTTCAAGCTATAAACCTGAACTATCCTTTGTATTTTTACAATCATACCCAAACCCAAAATTCAAAGCAGACCATCTTCTAGGTGGAATCAAAGAGGGGGTTTGTCGGTAGCTGCCAGTCGAAGGATTAAGCAAGACAAGACGGTAAGGACTACTACTTTGGATGCAAAGCAATCCATTACAAGATCCAACAACAAAGGGCTCTACCCCAAAGCTCGGCAGCTTGATAGCAGGGATTTTCGGCAATTCCAAGTTGAACGAGTAGAGGCAACAATCATTACCAGTGAGGATGAGGAGTTGGTTTGAGTTGGAGGAGATAGCATAGTCAAGATGACAGAGAATGAATTCATGGCTAGAGATCAAGGCTAACCATTTTTTGAATACACACTTGAAACGCGCAAGAGATTTTGCAGGCAGTCGTGGGAGTATACCGTTGTGTATTATATCCAATGGAGTAGATACCATCACATAAAATTTCTACCTATTATTCTCTCTTTACCTGGAATCAGATTGGTACAATAGCTACGAGTTACGAGATTTAATGTAATAGGCTGATTTTCTAGCTTAGTATTTCTGATTTAAAACAACAATGAATAAAGATGAAAGCTCGGAATTTTGATTGATAATGGCAGAATTGATACAAAAGTGATAGGTTAATAGCTTATACTCTCTCCTTAAAAACTTTAAATTATCACTATCCTAGTACCTTGAGGTTACCCTATCCCCTATTTATATACTAAAGCGAGCTAAAGGCTCCTAACCTAGAAATATTAGACTTTCCAAATCGCCCCTCCTAAGGTTAGTCTATTACAATGAATTAAAAAACCAATAAACAATTATAATCTGCATATGTATGTATGTGCACAAGAAATGCCAGTAATATACAAACTTTACTATCAGATAGAATTAACAGCTGATACCAACTCAGATAGTAAAGTAACATATATGTAAAAGCTTAAACAATGGAAAAAGAAGTTTGTTAATGCTCTACACTATATTTAAAGAGTTAAAACAGCAGGTTTCCACTTAGATTGTAAATAATTAATGGGTACACTCCTCACTAATTATACCGAACACTAAAAAAGAAAGTTGCCAACTTAAAAAAAAATCATTGTTGTTAGCCACTACTCGTTACGTTGTACACTATCTTAACTTCTCCGGGTTTCTCTATTGTTACTGCTACGATCACTTAGCTTAATCCTTTCTCTGTTTTACTCCCAAAGTTCATGTACACTATCTCTTTTCTCACCCTGAGTAGAGTCTACGCTTTCACACTTGTTACGTTGTTAGCCTTTCCTGAAGAGTCATTTGAATCATCTTAAATATTCTTAATCAAGCATTCAAGAGCACAAAATATGGAATATATCTAGTACAATAGAATTCCAAACAAGTCACAATAATGTACTGTCGTCACTTGTTCTGCAACCTTATAAGGAGATTTGATCTCAATAGGCCAAGAATTGCTAGAAGAAAAACTGTCAGTATAATTACTTCGTATTAGATAACTTCATATTGGAATTGTGCACACTAACAATTACTGAGCCATTTATTCATATAGGCTGCACTAGTGACAATTGACAACCAAGAAAATACAGAAGTGCAATAAAATGAGAGAAGTCCTGGACAAGGAAATCAGATAGAAGACAAACGATCACATATAAGCAATATTTCAAAATGATATGGAACGTAAATTGAGCCAACAAAATCGGGTCGTAACACCACTTGCAAAACTTCTATAAAAGAAGAATCATACCTGGTTTTTGTTATCCACTAGCCCTAGCAGTCCAAACTAGTCCATTCTCAAAAACTCATACCTAAAACACAATATAAGACAAATTTTCTTAGTAAAACACACATTAATAAGACAAAAATTAAGCAAACAAGGAAAAGAATCATCAAAAATCAACAGAAAAACTAACATACATTAAAACTTTAAACCAGCCAGTATATTTGTTACTTCTAACAATGACAAAATCATCCGGCAATGACCCATCTAGATTCCAATATTCTTAAAAGGCCACTAAAGCTTAAGCTTAATCGTGTTAGATTCAATCAACAATGTCATATCAAAGCAGAGACAGGAAGTTATATCATCCAAGTTGAACAATAGATCAAGCTAACAAATCAGATCTAACATGTAAAATCGAAAATCCAAGAATGTTGAATAAAATCTGCTTACCTTCTTTCCCATCCTTCTGTGCTGATTTTCTGATTTGGGAACCACCAGGAACATTAACAAGGCTGCCTTTACATACATCGATCCAAATACAATCTGCAACCCCATTGATTTCAGCACTTTTTGTTGTTTCACCCTTAATATCGTACCACAAGACCTTATGCTCAGTTTTATTCGCTGTTCTAAGCAAAATCTGATGGTTGAGACTGTCATAAGCAATAGGTGAAACTTGCAATGATCCAAAGACACATGAGTCTGAAATCTGGAACACCTTAACCCAAGATTTTTTCACACCATACTCATGCATAACCCATATATCAATAACAGGTTGTTGTGGATTCTTAGTTGATAAGTATAAACAACCCTCCAAAACCCCAAAATCCAGCAGTCCATCTCGTATATCATTAGCAGAATGCATGATTGAACCCATATAGTCTGGCAATGGGACATCATGAGTCCATTGTTTTTCACAAAGATTGAAACAACGGATCTGATATTTACCTTCCTGTAAACTCCAAAACTTCCAATGAAGCAGATTGTTGTTTATAAGGACACCATTTTCACGATTTCCCATAGAATCCTGAGGGGAAGTCCGCTCAATCACTTCCCAGGAATTTGCCCTCGAGCTATAAACATGAACTATCCTATCCATTTGATGACCGAGGAATCCCATAGAAGGATAGCGGTCAACGATTCTAACAACTTTGTAATCATCATTATTACAATCATAGCCAAACCCAAAATTCAAAGCAGAACATCTTCTAGGTGGAAGCAAAGAGGGGATTTCCCGGTAGCTGCCAGTCGAAGGATTAAGCAGGACAAGACAACAAGGCCTATAACTTTGGATGCAAACCAATCCATTACAAGATCCAACAACAAAGGGCTCTACCCCAAAGCTCGGCAGCTTGACAGCAGGAGTTTTCGGCAAATCCAAGTTGAATGAGTAGAGGCAACCATCATTACCAGTGAGGATGAGGAGTTGGTTTGAGTTGGAGGAGAGAGCATAGTCAAGATGACGGAGTATGAATTCATGGCTAGAAATCAAGGCTAACCATTTTTTGGATACACACTTGAAGCGCACAAGAGATTTTGCAGGCAGTCGTGGGAGTATATCATTGTCTAATATATCCAATGGAGTAGATGCCATCACAGAAAATTTCTCCCTATTCTTCTCTCTCTACCTGGGATCAGATTGGTTCAATAGTTATGAGGGTTAATTAATAAATCAATAAACGATTATAATCTGCATATGTATGTATGTGCACAAGAAACTCCAGTAATGTACAAACTTTTTACTATTAGATAGAGAAATTAACAACTGATAACGACTCAGACAGGACAGTAACATAATTGCAAAGCTTAAACACATGCAAAAATAAGTTGCCAACTTCAAAAAATCACTAAACAGGTGATGCTTGAGACATTTAACATACATTTTGAGTTTTGACTCTATAAACCAGCTTCAGATTATAATGAGATATCTACTCTCCAATTATAGTTCCTCTCGTAAAATTTCACCATTCATATCATTAAACGGAGTTATCCCCAAGGCCCGGAGGACGACTGTTGCGAGCTCTCCTGGTTCTGCCAGGAAACATGCGGCGGCTGAGAAACAGCCGGCCACTTCTTCTAAAACTCCAGTTGGGCCACCTAGAAGTGTGAAATTATCCTTGTAAAT